AAACTGGTGATTCAGAACTACAAAACCTGATATCAAAGAATACCTCTCTAAAATTTAAGCAATGCCCACTACATTCAGACAAATTGTTATGGTGTGACGTGTCTACCAATAATATTAGACCAATTATTCAAATTAAATTCCGAATAATGGTTTTTAGGAACTTCCACGAACTTTCACACCCAGGCATCAAAGCCACAACTAAACAATTAACATCAAGATTTATATGGCCTAATATGAATAAATACATTAGGAAATGGGTTCAAGCTTGTGTCAACTGCCAAAAGTGCAAGGTGTCAATACACACGAAATCAGAAATAGGCAAATATCAAGAAGTGGATGAAAGATTTAGTGTTGTGCACATCGATCTAATTGGTCCATTACCTCCATCGAATGGTAACATCTACTGTCTGACCTATATCGACAGGTACACCAGCTGGATGAAAGTTGTTCCGCTACCAGATATGATATCTGAAACGGTGGCGAGAGCATTCTACGAAAACTGGATTGTTAGATTTGGTGCACCGCATACAGTGATATCATACCAAGGAAAGCAGTTTACTTCTCAACTTTTCAAAGATTTAACAACGCTGTGTGGTATCAAACTTCGCCATTCCACGGCGTACCACCCTCAGTGTAACGGGAAGATCGAAAGGCTTCATAGAACCATCAAAATTCCATTCGTGCCCACAATAATATTAAGTGGACAGAAACGCTGCCAACAGTTCTCCTAGGCTTACGTGCTGCTATCAACAAAGATAACAATCATTATTTGTCTTAAATGGTATATGGAAAAACCATCAGACTGCCAGGAGAATTCTTTGATGATTCTAAACATCACCTGGCTGCAGAAGAATTTGTTCAACAGCTTCAAAAGCAAATGGAATTACTCAAACCCTTGAATCATAAACATCATTCGAAAAATAAAGTATTTGTCCATAAAGATCTGAAAACATGTTCACATGTGTTTATCAGGACAGATCGAGTGAAAAAACCTTTGGAACCACCATATGAGGGACAATTTCCAGTCCTTGATAGAACAGACAAGTACTTCACACTCAAAGTGAAAGGAAGAAATGTGACCATATCGATTGACCGATTGCGACCTGCTTACTTACTGACAGATTCGGACAATCTAACTCCAGAACACCCTACTGCAGCAAGACCGATCGTGTCGGGAGCGCTGCCTTCTACATCGTCCCAACAGATTCCTGACCGACCAGATGTGGAGAAGTACACAGAATTCTATGGAACAGGATCAGCACCGGACCTGACTAGGACAAGATCGGGGAGAATAATCAAGAAACACGTGAGATTTAAGGAGCAATAGACTATATTTCTCTTTATTTTTTTCTTGTCTACATTTATGATGTATATATATTGTAATTAACCACTTTGTGCACCGAATCGTGATTTCGCCACTGGAAGGGGAGTACTGTGGGGGCCTAGAGACTTCCTTCCAGCCTGATGGGATGACCACGCCGTCAACAAACATACAAGCGGCGCCATGAAATAGGAGATGACCACCGCTGCGCGGCGCGGCACATCAGCGGAAACCAGAGAGAACCAGAATAGACATTCTAGGGTGTTGTCCTTTTGTCTTCCTCTAAAAATGAAGCTAATAAGTTATACCAATAAAACACAAATTTTAAATACTTTCTGAGCCATCGTTGGACTAATAAATCACACACCACAGATGTATAAACTATGAAAAATGCCTTTTTTTACCATAATTTATTTATATTGTTATATATTTAAATAATTTGGTTTTATATTGGGCTTCTGCTTTTGGTATTTTTTTTACTCATTCTCTTGAAAGAACAAATGACTAACACATTACTAGTGAACACTTAGATGGTTATTGTAGCGAAGTCCAGGTTCATCAGCTTCACGACCCGCTTCTCCTGACTGAACTTGCAGTCCAAGACTATCCATCATGGTAGATTTTCCTTCCCAGCCCTACCTGAAAGGACTCAATCACTTCTTTAATGGTTCTCCAACATAGCACAATGTCTATTTCAGCAGCTTTGAATTGTGGACCAACGCGGAAGCAAGAATGCTGTCATTGAAGTGAATCCTGAAATCATCCTTGAACAGGTCCATCTCCAACACAGTGATATTTTTTGTGTTGGGGTGTAGTAGTCCTCATCGTGGTTGATGGAGTAGCCAGTGGGAATATTTGTTCAGCCTACAAATGTTTTTCTCCAATCAAATTTCTGACCACTCTCTCTAGCTCTTCACAGATATCAATTGTTTTCAAACTAGGCTTGATATAGTCTATCGGGTCATCCTGGTCTAGCGATGATTTATAAGCATATAATGCGTGTCTTCTTGTCCATAGGGTTATGATTCACTGAAGGGTATATAATTGCGGGGTGCATTTTATTTATTTATTTTTGCCTTAGAATCCTGATTACTGCAGAGGGAGTCCAGCTGACTACTAGGATTAGGCCTCATTTATCTGAGACTCTTGTGGTATTCTCCACTACTCCAACACTCTCATTTACAGATGAGCTCTCTTTGTTAATTTTGCCTCTTCCATAAGTATCGATTCCTTTTTAAATTATGTAGGCCATCAGCTATTTTAAACTACTCATGTAAAAAATACTGTCTCTTAATTTCCTATAAAGCCTCTCTGGCTGAAGGGACGGAATTTTTAACTATTTTTTATTGCCTGGCTGTCCCTTTTCTTAGACTGCAGAAAGCCAACCTTTGAAGCTAGTTGTCACAATACCTATTTCATTTTTTTTTTGTACACATTAGATGTCAAAGTTGTGCATTGAATAGGCTAGTATTTTTCATCTAATAAAATGTATTAATAAAAATTGATGCGAGAGAAAAATGAGGAATAATATTAAAATATATTCAACTAGCCGAATGACCCGGGCAACGCCCGTGTTTTACCCGATTGAATGTTTTGATTCAAATACTATTTGTTACAATTATAAATTGTGGTCATGTGGCCTAGTGGTCATGGCATCTGCCCGGTAAGCGGAAGGTCGTGGGTTCGATTCCCATCCCTTGACACTTTTTTTATTTTATCCATTCTGACCAAAATCTATCCGTGAACTTCACACAGACAGAATAAGGCAATTATATAAGTAGATTAAAAAAATTATAATAATATATATATACACATAAAATGGCCAAAAATAAATGTAAAGGAATAGAAAAAGGACTTACTGTAGGGAAGAGCCACCGACCAATGACCGGCGGTACGGTCAGCCGCTCTCTTCCTGCTAAGATCTAACTGCCACTTTTTTTAAATTTTGGCGCCATCTACCATGCTGAGCCCCCTATGAGCGAACTCTTTGAGAATCTTTAATAAAATTTAAAAAATGCTTTATAATTTGAAAGGTTTTATATTAAATATATATATATATTATGTTTAATTTTTTTAACTATAAATATTTAATTTGAAAAAAAAAATAAAGAGCAAAAGACAATTTCATGCCTGATGTCTTTATTGGGGGATGGGTTCTGGGTCTTCATCTCAGTTGAAGGTTGAGGCTGTTGGTGGTGGTTATTGTGGTGGGGTTTCAGGCCTATCTATTGCCTGGTCATCTCCGGGCTGTCTGTCGAGCCTCACAGGTATTCTCCATCACTGAGGGGCTCTTGGCATCGGGGTGTAGCAGGTCACATGGGGTGGGTAGTCCGTAGGACGACCAGGGAGGTCTATAGGCCTTTCTTTAAAATAATTCTTCCAGCCACACTTTCCAGCTCCCACACCAAGCTTGGTGTAGTCCTTCACATACACTTCCTGGTCAGTGGTGAGCTCCTGTAGCATGCTGTCTACTTGAAGATGTCCTTGGGGTTGTGGACCTGGAGTAGGGTTGCCTTGTAGTCCAGACTGCATGCTACAGCAGTCAGTTGGCAGTCATAATTGGTCCTCCGGGACTCATGCCTCCCCTGCCACAACACTCTCACATACAGGTGAGCTCTTTTTTTTAAATATTATTATTAACATTGTTCCCCCTACAGCAGACATCCTTTCATTCCATTTAAATTTATTTAGACCTCCAGCTAGCTATATACAACCAAGTACTTTATATTTGTCTTCCGCATCCTCAACAATCCTCCCCTGCCACAAGCATCAAAAACTTGGGGAGGATTATTGAAGAAAAGTTTTTGGTGCTCCAAATGCGGAAGACAAATTTATGGATCCTTAAGCATCACACCTTAAAGAACCAAACAATAAATAAATGACTCAAAATACTTTTTTTAAAAAGGTATATATAAAAATTAGCCACTTATATCTCAAATTGTTTCACAAGTTCATGACATCATGGTCCATCTCCAACACAGTGATATTTTTTGTGTTAGGGTGTAGTAGTCCTCATCGTGGTTGATGGAGTAGCCAGTGGGAATATTAGTTCAGCCTACAAATGTTTTTCTCCAATCAAATTTCTGACCACTCTCTCTAGCTCTTCACAGATATCAATTGTTTTCAAACTAGGCTTGATATAGTCTCTCGGGTCATCCTGGTCTAGCGATGACTTAAAAGCATATAATGCATGTCTCCTTGTCCATAGGGTTATGATTCACTGAAGGGTATATAATTGCGGGGTGCATTTTATTTATTTATTTTTGCCTTAGAATCCTGATTACTGCAGAGGGAGTCCAGCTGACTACTAGGATTAAGCCTCTGTTATCTGAGACTCTTGTGGTAATCTCCACTACTCCAACACTCTCATTTACAGATGAGCTCTCTTTGTTAATTTTGCCTCTTCCGCAAGTATCGATTCCTTTTTAAATTATGTAGGCCATCAGTTATTTGAAACTCTTCATGTAAAAAATACTGTCTCTTGATTTTTTTATAAAACCTCTCTGGCGATTTCAAGAGATCCTTTCTAAATTAATAAAAAAAAACTTGTTTAATTTCTTTTATTCTGAATAATTAAAATATACAGTTATCAGAGTCATCAATCAACAATCAATCAACAATTCTGTCACCGTTTGCTTTTGTGAATGGAATGAATACCCAAATATGGCCATTTTTATAAGCATCGGTGGTTCAGTGGTAGAATGCTCGCCTGCCACGCGGGCGGCCCTGGTTCGAATCCCGATTCCCGGCCGATGCATTTTTTTTTTTACAATTTTAAAAACTCTTTTTTTTACAATTTTTAAAACTCATTTATATTATTATTAAAATATACAAGTATCAGAGTCATCGATTCTGTCATCGTTTGCTTTTGTGAATGGAATTCTTTTACGTAATAATACTTAACTAATATGACTGAAATTTTAGCAGTATGTATAGTAGAATCTGGAAAAACTTATATTGAATATTTCAGGTCTCTATCCCGAATATTCTTCGAGTTATTTGCAAATTTGAGTTGCAAATTTGCTCTTTCGCTCTCAAGCAGCGCCTCTAGCGGTGATGATGAGAGGTAATATCAGCTGACCTTATGTACATGTAAAACGTGTTTTAACAGGATATAGAAAAAATATTGAAGAGATATTTGTCGCATTTTTAGCCAAGAAAAAATTAATTGACAGGTTCTGGGCAAAAATAGTTGGTTTTTTTTTTTTAGTCAGAAAATGATTATGACAATATTGCTGTATCATATTTGATTATCAGATACATAATTATATCTAGAAAAATTCCAAAAAGCAGAGATTACGGGTGAAGCCAGTTCATTTTTAGTATGCAGGAACAAAATTCTAACAGAAAAACATTCATTCAAGCAGAAGACACAAAGCCAGATCATCTCTTTATAAAAATATCGCTTCTCAGACACAAAGTTTGGAGCGGGACGTTTCACAAGAATGACATCCACGGCGCCAATTTATAATTGTAACAATAGTTTTTGAATAAAAGCATTTAATCGGGTAAAAACCTGGGCGTTGCCCGGGTCATTCGGCTAGTTTTATAATAAACTAGCGGACGTACCCGGCTTGGCCCGGATTTTACCCGAGTAAAGGTTTGTCTAACAAATCTCTCGATAAAGTGAACATTTTTTTCCCCGGTCCCTTGAAAAATACTCGATAAGTTGAATAAAATCAATATTAATTGGTTCCCTCGGTAATTGGAAGTTGAAGAAATAGTATCTTGCCTTGGAATTGTATCATTATTCTTGTATGGATGTACCCGGCTTCGCTCGGGTTTTACCCGAGTAAAGGTTTGTTTAACGAATCTCTCGATAAAGTGAACATTTTTTCTCCGGTCCCTTGAAAATACTCGATAAGTTGAATAAAATCAATATTAATTGGTTCCCTCGGTAATTGGAAGTTAAAGGAATAGTATCTTGCCTTGGAATTGTATCATTATTCTTGTCTCAAATAAATTGCCGTGTCATCCTGAATTTTGTCTTTCCTAATTTTCTACATTACAAAATCATCGTATCATCATGATAATATTTAGAGCAGATTGTTGAATTATAACTGATAAATTAGAATATTTATCTTGATTATTTCTAGGCGAAAAGTTATTTCAAAAATTTTATTTGCTAGAAACCTTCCCAGTACTATACTAAATAACTTCCCAAAGTTTCATGGCGTTCCAATGAGTGGTTTGGTCAGGCATAAAGGACAGACAGACACACACACACACACACTCGGCCGTGCGGCCACGCGTCGCGCGAGCTCCGCGTATTTTGCCTCTGGCGGATGTATGAGTTCCGGCAATACGCCGAGTTTGGCACGGGCTGAAAGCCCTTCAAAAGCCGAGGAAAAGCCTGCAAGGCTCGGCTCAAAAGCACAGCCCAGTGCGGAGTTACCAGCGAGAAACGCTTTGAAGTTCAATTCTTCAATGAAATCGACGAAGAATCAAAGATATGCAAATCCGGCTACCGGCGGCAAGGATGCAAATCCGGCCGCGCCGACCGACTTTGCCGCTGCTTCTTCCTCTGAGGCTGCTGCCCAAGCCCATAGAAACTGGGCAGAATTATCGGAGGATAGCAACTCCGAATATGAGGGCAACTTCACCATTGTCCAGAAAAGAAAGAGACGTCGCGGCTCGGCGAATTCGTCTCCAGCGGCCGCACCTTCTTCCAATTTAGGAGGTGCCAGAACTAACCGCCGTCCGCAATCTTCGGCAGGATGGGCACCGCGCGCCCAGGAAGTCAGGACTACCCGAGCGCACATCGTGGAGGCCAGGGCGCGGCAGGCGTCCTCAACAGAAGACCACTGCGTCTACGTAGAGCGCAGCCCTGAACTGGAGCCCTACCATTACATGAGGGCCATGGATCGAATGTTTGGGAGCACCAGGGAGGTCTTCCAAGTGACCAAGATGAACGGCCACTTCCTGGTGGGACTGGCAAACAGAGGCATGGCCGAGCGCCTCGTCAACGAAGGCCTCGAGGTGGAGGGGACACTCCACAGGGTCTTCCCGTTCCGCAAGAGGGCGGAGCGAATAACGGTGGGCAACCTCCCCTTCTTCGTGGGGGATGCAGCCGTCATCAGCGCCCTTACACCTCTTGGGCGAGTTACATCCATCGCCCCCAAGCTGATGAAAGCGGGCCCATACACCTATAACGACGGCCGCCGAGAGGCGTTCATCATCCTCCGCGAAGGAATGACCATCGAGGGACTGCCCACCCGTCTCAACATCACCATCAAAGGCGAGGCCTGGCCCGCATACCTATCCTCCGGGATTAGATGCTCCAGGTGCCGAGGCCAAGGACATCGCCGGGCCAACTGCCCCCTGCTTGCAGGGCGAACCAACGCTCCTGGACCGGCCACACCTACCTCTCCCACTAGCGTCCCACCAGCGACTGCGCTCAAGCTGCCTCAGCAGCCATCTGCCCAGCCTCCACTTCTGGCGTCCCACAGCCCAGCCATGGAGGTCTCCGACGTGCCTCCCGCGAGCCGAGCAGCGCTCCTTCCACCTGCTGCACTCCGGCCATCACCACCAGCGCCTTTGGCCTCACCTGCGGAGGCTGCGCCTCCTGCCCCTCCACCAGTGACCCCTGCTCCGTCCTTGCGAACACCTGGGAGTCGCGAGCCTGCAGCCCCTACACCGGACATTGAGATGTCCAACGTCGAGGAGTCTCCACCTCCACTGTCTCCCCCCGAACCGGCGGCAGTGCCTCCAACACCCCCACTGCCCGCGCCTCAGCCTGCCGGGCCGATACCACCTGCTCCCGACGAGGAGGAGATGACGCCGATCATGAGGGAGGAGTGTATGGTTATTGAAATCTTCAAGAAACTGAAGCACTTAACCTGCCTAAGGCCCTTATATCAATCAGGGATCCAACCGGATGACATCAAGGATGCCATTCTCTTCATCGATGAAAGAGAGTCCCTCATGGCGAGACTGACACCTGCGATGAGGGGAGTCCTCGCTGAGTTCCTCAGCGCGGCCATAGAACCGGCTCGGGGCAACCATCCCGATGTTAGCTCCGATTTGGCCAGTCTTAGGCGGCGATGCCATGATTCCTGACAACTGTCAATGTAAATATTTCTTTTTCACCCTCCTGGTTGAGATGTAACATCGTCTAGAGGACAATAAACTATTTTCAATTGTCAATTGTCACACACACACACACACACACTCGAGCGTGCGGCCACGCTTTCGCGAGCTCCGCCGTTTTTGCCTCTGGAGTGTGTGTCATTGGCGCTGAAACCTGCCGAATCCGGTGTCAGAAGATAGCCCTCGATCCGCTGATAACGTGCCTGAAAGGCCCAGCACTGGATCTCAACCAGGCGAGGAGTTTTCGCCGAAAACAGAAAATATGAAGAATACAAAAGAATATTCTTCTGAAAATCAAATAGATGCAAATCCGCCGGCAGGCGATATGCATGTAAATCTGGCCGCCGCGCGTGATGACGTCACGGCGCCAACGACTGCTGCTTCAACCAGCGCTACAACAGCCAGCCCGGCCTCGCTCAACTGGGCCGACAGCGAGATGGCGGAGGTGGACGCCAACGAAGGCTACACCGTCGTGAAGAGCAAGAAAAGGCGCCTCTCTTCAACACCTGAGCACGCCGCAAAGCAGGCAATCAGGCCTGCTGAGAGACGCGGCCCCCAGCAGCAGAAGCGGACAACAGGGCCGAGGTCAATGCCGCCCCAGGAAATCAAGGCGACGCGCGCCAACATCGCCGACGCCAGGGCGAGGCAGGCCACTACCAACCACGAGAACTACGTCTTCGTGGAGCTGTGCCCAGACATTCCGGACTACTCCTACCTCAAGGCCATGAGCACGCTACTCGGGGGGCCAAGGAGCATCACGCAGTTCCATCGAATGAACGGCCACTTCATCGTGGGTCTTGCGGACAAGAAACTTGCGAACCGTCTGGTCGCGGACGGCCTGGAAATCGAGGGTACGTCCCTCAGGGTCTTCCCCTTCCGCAAGAGGGCGGAGCGAATAGTCGTGGCCAACCTGCCCGGCTTTGTGGAGGACAGCACCATCGTGAACACCCTGGGCCAATTCGGGAAGGTCACCTCCATCGCCCCCATCCTGGTCAAAATGGGGGAGTTCACATTCACCGACGGCCGCCGGGAGGCGTTCATCCTGCTCCGCGATGGCGTAAGGCTAGAGACGCTGCCCACCCGACTAACCATCCACTCCAAGGGAGACACCCTGTCGGCCTTCCTCTCCTTTGGAATCAAGTGTTCCAAATGCGGTAAACAGGGCCACCGCAGAGCCAACTGCCCCGCGACCCCCCGAGCCTCGCATCTCTCCGCTCGACCACGAGATGTCGGTGGAGGGGCTGACCTCACCTCCATCCACGCCTGCCCGGGGAGAATCCGCACTCAAACAGCTGCTGAAGCACATCGAGGAGACCCCCACCCTTTCCATCGACTGGCACAAGCTGCCCGGCCTTAACTGCAAGGACGCACAGCAGCTCCTCACCTCTGAGACCACCATGAAGAGGCTAGCGCCCACGCTGACAGAAGAACAGGTCGCCACCCTCGACAAGTTGCACGACACCTTCAAGGCCTCGTGCCCAGACTCCAACTCCACCATCCGCAAGACCCTCCAGAAGACCAGGAAGGTCCGGCGAGATCTACAGCGCCAATGAACCACCGCGTCGCCACCATCAACGCGCGAGGGCTCGCCACTCGGGGGAGGAGCCTTGCCCTTTGTCATCTCCTCAAACAACATCACGTGGACATCGCGTTTGTCCAGGAGACAAA